AAACATGTTACCAAGTCTACACAAGTAAGAATCCGTTTCTTTCTCTGACAACTACTAAACACCTGGTATTTATGATTTATTTTGTACAATAAAATAAATACTGCATTATTTATTTTGTATTACAATTTCATTCACATTCGATCACTGATGTTTTCCAAGATAACTGCATTTTCTAGAAACAATTGTGAAAGGTCCTGAAAGATATCACTAACTTGATTTTTTTTTTTTTAAAATCGTACTCTTAATTTCTCATTCAGCGGACAAACACGACTTTTGAAACGCAAAACTGAGAATGCTTAAAAACACGACTAATTAGATGGCAAATGACGTTGATAACCATGCAAAACAACCAGCTTTTTTTAAAGCTCCCGGATACCGCATGAACATCAAACCACTAAGACTGCCTGATATGGCAAGTTGAATCTTTAACTGATATCCGAAGTTAAATTAGCCTCAATATATAGTGAATACAATAAAAAATGTTCACCTGATTTTATCCGCCTATTAGGAAGCTTAAAAAATAAATTATTAAACTTACGTTTTCTTACGCAAAAGGAAACTCACGACAATCAACTAACAAAATCCAATTTGTATTTAGTTTATTCCTCAAACAGTTTGGACTCTTTAAAAGCTTTGTTCTTAAAAAGACTTCAGGAACCTTTCAAGCGCGTCAGTCAACGAAGCATTTTATATCTTCCTATTTTAATAAGAACAAGTTTATGAAATAACAGAAATTGCCTTGTTAATTCTTATTAACAAAAACTGAAAAAGTCAATAAACAAGTCAGCGATTTGACAGTTCCAAAAATAGTACCTGAAACTAAAAAAATAACAACGTCCAATTCATTTTTGGGGCAACAAAATGAGCAGTAACAGCATTCAGGGTCCAAAAAACACGCCCATTGGAAAAGCTCACATTGTACCAATATTGCTCCTGCTTCTATCAACAAAAGCCGATTCCTCCGATGCATATCGACTCCTTGGCTCAAAACACCAGGTTAGACACGAAGCATGTAAATTGTTATATTTACATTAGAAGGATATTCATTTTCGAAATAAAAACTATTAGACCCAAATTTTCATTAAAAAAATAATACAACTATTTAATACAACAATATTAATAACAATATTTCGACGCATGGGAGAAACTTGTTATTTTGTTCTGTTTTTCAATATTTTTGTTCTTGTTAGACAAAGAGCCTTTTTTGCGATTTTTCTTGTGTTGAGACAAACTGGGAGTAACATCAATGGAAATTCTCAATTTTTAAGCACCAAGAAATTCTTATAAACCAAAAGCCGCTGTAATAATTTTCAAAGACAAGAAATTATCACCGCTTCCAAAATCTGAATAAAAAAATGTTTTTTTTTATTCAGCCGACAACTCTTGAGTCCCGAAAAGAGGCCAGACTAGAAGAGCTGTTACAAGAGGTACTGGATCGAAATAACAAAGCAATGGACGAATTAAAACAACAATCAGAACAATTTGAGGGAGGCGAAGCAGCGAGGAGAGCAGGATCTCAAAACAACCGACTAGCAAAAATTATCCTGAAACGCAACAATGTGTTTTCGCAGCCACTCAAAGGAAACGAAAAGAGGGACTCAACGCAGATGCAGTACCATAAGAACAACCAAAAACTACAACAACAGCAACAACAACAATACCAGGAAGAAAACCTGTTATTAGACCAAGTGACCAAGCCAAGTGGCAATCGAATGATGGATTTAGAAAAAAGATCCCGAATTTGTAGAACATCCATTTTTGACTACAAAGGCAAAAAGTGCTAGAATGAAAGACTTAGATATGGCATTAAATATTGAATGCATGGACACGCGGCAGGGATTTCAGGTTAATGCGAAGGGAAAGGCGTTACTCAATCAGCCTAATCTATTGCAATACTACAACAACCACCGCCGTTCAAAATTACATCAGCGGTGCAAAATTACATCTGCTTTGAAAATAAAAAATGTTCATGTTTTACTCTTCATGTTTCCAGTACAGCAATTTCAGTAAATTATGGCGAATCTGAAAGCTATATAACTTAATTAACTTCCCATATTTAAAAATGCTAGCTTTGAATTTGGTAGATAGCGACAGAATTGTCTGAATGAGTTTCGTGAGGTCAGATCTTGTATGTACATCGGGAGCTTGCAGTTGTTTAGAAAATTGCTTGGTTCAGTTATAATTTCCTGCTTTAAAAAATACATCGCGTGTTTTCTTTTACATAACCACAACCCATCTATCAATCTAATTAATGATAATCGAACCCATAACAAAATTAGGGGGAATATAACAGCCGAAAACAGCCGATGATTAGTTTAGATTTAGAAAGATGCTATCCAAACACACCCTAGGGCTTGATTCTGATATCTTCCTAATCAATTAGTTTACCACACCATTTCAGCAATTACAATTTAGAATTAAAATTCATCTCGCATCTCAATTAAAGTCTGCAATTCAGAGTCTATTTTTAAACTACCGGTGGATTATGCCCCTTAATTATTTCTCATACTGCCGGCCGATTAAAACTCGGGGTAGTGTGCTTTTTGCATTTGATGTTTCGTACAAATATAAAACTACGGATTCTACATGTAAATTTTTTTGTTTATTTTTTTTCTGTGCTTCTGAGGACTTGGGGACAAAACACGACCATTTTCAGCAAGATATGGGAAAAACATATCTTTATTTTGAGATGGGAAAAAAAACAATATAGACATTTTTGAAATTCTAAGTTTCTGGGCAGTTAGTTTTTATTCCAGCGCGCTGCCTATCAAGTCACAAAATAATCACGCCGCCTCCGATCAAATTCACAACGATGCATAACACTGATAGGCACAGAGGCAAAAAAATCAATAGAAAACAGAAAGTTCGACCATAGTTACGTAAAAAACTATATATTTTTTTGTTCAAATTCAGGCCATTCTACATAGGCAGTGCGAGGAGAGATCCTAGAAGAAAGCTTAGAGCAACATCAATGACCTTAATTGACTAGTTATTTCAGAATGAATTTATAAAAATCGAAAAAAAAGATTTATCTCAAAACAAGGTTATAGTTTTTTTTTAAAAGAAGGATTTTTCGACACAATATATTGCAGTGATTATACAACATGTGTTCTCATGTTTCTTAATAGATACAGGAAACAGCAGCACAGAATGTAGCACAAAATGCTCCGATCGCATTAATAAAAACTACAAAAAAAGTTTTCGGTGTGATGAGAAAACTATACGAGCGAAAACGAGTAGATATATAGTAAATTCAGCATAATATTCAACAGTTGTGCTTAAAAAACGAATTGCAAGCAAAGCAAAAAAATCAACCCTATTTTTCTGAACACTGGGACAACTTTATGACACTGAGACGAAGCTGAGCTTCGCACCACTTACGATACCAAACCAGAAACAAATTTTTAAAAAAAAATTAAAAAGGCCGAAAAAACTAGATCTATCAAATTGAATAAGGCTAGTTTGAAAAAAATATGCCAAATCCATAAAATGTGAAATAAGCATCGGATGATAATGTACCAAGCGGTAACAAAGCCGAAAGTGCCCTCTTGTCAGAAACCCTTTAAGCCGAAAAAAAATCAACTTAACTTCTGAAAAGTTACAAGTGCACCTCACCCGAAAAAAAAACTCAAAAGACGTTATTTGCTTGTCAAATGAAACAATGAGGCCACTAACCTGATAGAACAAAGGTCGAAACCTATTAAGCCCAAAAAGGGAAAGAAAAAAATCCGAAAAAAAAATATCAAAAAAATTTAAGACTAACAAGAAGTTATAAAGTTGCCCTCAGCCTCAAACACAGACACTCACACACAAAACAGTAATATAATATAGGTGGAATCCTATCAAGACGAAACAGAAGGAAAAAAAAACAAAAAGCCGAAAAAAATGTTATCATGAAAAACGTGAACAGCTATTCTATTCAGAATTTTGGCATTTTGTACGATCCAGAGGTGAGCCTAAAAAAATGCTTCCGTTGAAACGACTCAAAGTTACGTCACTAAGCCAATAAAAAAACAGGCCAAAATCATTTGGGAAGAAATGAGTTTTCAAACAAAAAAAAAACAAACAAGAAAATATACGAAGTCAAGTTTAGTAAAATTACAAACAGCAGAGGTAAATCAGAACACTAAAAGCAACTAAAATCTAAAAAAAATACTTTAAAAAAACAATTCTACAATATGGCAACTAAGCCGAAAAAACATAAGCAGACAATAAAAAGTCGACAATTTTTTTGAAAAGGACTATTTCCTGTTTGAAAAAAAAATTAGGTCCTGTCAGATACGAACCGAGGACCTATGGCGTCCCAGGCGTATTCGCTGCCTCCAGACTAAGTGTGTCGAAGATTCTTAGAAACTTGTAATAATTATGAACCAAGATACCAATTGATTCAAATGATTATGTTAAACAAGTTGTTAACCCCAAAAACAAGTTGTTGTTTCCTATTTGATAACGCTTGCTAATTGCAAGCTCAAAAATCGGTTAAGGTCGTTCGAATCATGACTGACAGGGCTTCGATATGATATTTATCATTCGACTCATTCCGATGATTACTTACGGTACCTGATTTAGCGTTACAAAAATAATAAAACACACGCGAAGACAAAGTGTTACGATCAAGTTCCATGAGCGCGAAATACAACCGATGCAAGTTACTCTTGAAATTTCTCATATTGAAACATTGAATCAAGAAGACATCATGTCCGCATGATTGAATTTCGGTTACATTTTGAAAAAACCGACTCGTTACAAACGTTAGACGAGTTTTTGTATGTTAGGATTGAGATGACATAATTTTAACTCTTTTTGTGTAACCAATCAATTTACACCCTGCTGAAAACATAATTAGCGAGACAATGTTTTATCCCCCAGGAGATCAAATATTAACATTTGTCCTCTTTTTGTTTTGACAAAATGGCCTATTTTTCACCTTAAGACATCCAAGTTTGCCGCAGCGCTTCCGCATGAATATGCTTAGCAGTAGCAGGAGGCGGAAAAGACTAGTCAATCTACTTAAGCTGCCTCCCATCGATAATAAATGGAGACCCTATGTGTTTTATTTTGGTGGTAGAAGCTCCGCCTTGAGCACTTCTAATTTTTTTCTCAACCAGTTCGATTCCAATCCAATTAAATAATCAACAGCATTACAACTAAGACGCATCAGTACTGTCTGCTCCATTTCACTGTACATTTGACGGCTAACAACAATACTTCACAACGGAGGCAGTCCAAAAGGGTAAGCAACAAGCGACCTATCAACAGCCGACGATACGCCGAACCTAGACATTGATATCTATCAGCGAATAAGATAGTTTAACGCTAACAAACACCTTTGGTAAAAAAAATTTGGTTTTAGTCGAAAAAAGACAAAGAAAAAATTCAAAAAAAGTCCTTTTTATTCAAATTTTTTGCAGATTTTTTTGTAAATTTTGAAAATTTTTATTCCGAAGATGGTTAAAAAAACTTCGAAAAAAAAGAAATTTAGTGGAGCTAAACTTAAGTTTAATGGTTCATCCTTCGCAAACAAGACTACTCGCTAGCTTTTCCCGCACGAATAAGATTAAAACAAAAAACTTCAAACCGATTTTACCAACACTGGTACAATTTTTTGAAAAGTTTTTAATACCGTTCGAATCAAGGCTGAACTGGCTTGACTATGATATAATAATCCACTGGTCAAAATGTCTTTTGCGATAAATGCTTTTAGTTGTAAAACAAAATAATCCTGCTCGATCGAAAATAGAAGAAAATTCAAAAGATTCACATAGGTTTTTCTCGACACTGGGAAATTTTATGCAAATCTTGAATGTTGTCTAAATCATACGACTGAAAGGGTTTCAATATGATATATCACTCAATTCAGTCCGATGGTTATTATGGCAACTGATTTTGAGTAGAAAAAGAAAAAAACTTTAGCACACCCGAATACAAAGCTCCTACCCATTTTCAATGGTGGAAACAAAAACCCAACCACGATCTGTAATCAATGCTGGAGAGAAGAAATTGAGATAAAAATTTTTCGGGCATAAAACACAAAACTTGCAGAAGATCTTGTTTGTTTATTGGCCCACGTTGGTAGGGTTGAGCTCGTCTTTTTCCAAGTTGAGGAGCTTCGCGATAACCACCAGCTACAGCCACAGTACTACGGCGGCAAAATTTTATGAGAAAGTGGAATAGTTGGCAAGTTGAAAGGATTGCAAATGAATAAACTTGTAAGAGGTATCTACAATGAAAAATAAGAGGTGGGACAGCCTTTCCGAGAGGAAGGTAACTAAAAGACTGTTATAACCGGACCACTGAGTATTTCTTGAAAAGGATTGCTCCGGAGGTTCAATTTTTGGGAGATAATTTTAAAGGCAAAGGTTTCAGAAAAGCAATCGAGTACTTGCCTTGTTTGATAGGTCTTTAAAGTTTATCAAAAATTAAAACAAAGATTTGTCCAAGTTATTAAAATCTAATTGGGGATTTTCATTAAACGAAAAGCAGAAAAAAAATTAAAAATTTTTTCCTTAATTGAAACGAAGATGACAACGGTATGTAAAGACAAAATTTTGGGAAGTAAGAGTTTGGTTATTTTATCAATAATATCACAACTTCACTGTGCAGATAGGCATTAGAACTTATAAGAATAGAACCCGCATCAACTCGAGAGGGCTTGGTGTTAAGGAGCCTGCAGGTGATTCATTGAAGTTTAACTGGCGGCGGGGGACCAGGCAGAGGAAGCGCAGTCAACGCGGTTCTGATTAGGGCTGCATCAACTATATCCTATACAGGACGCAAAAAAATTACGCTGGAGATCATTTTTTTAAACCACTAAGTTCCGTAATCGTTCTATGAGAGAAGAGAGAGAAAGAGAGTTTGTTCTGGCCGGAAACAATACACAAACAATTGCAGGTAGATCTTGTTTATTTGTTTATTAGCCTACGTTGGTCAAGTTGGCTTGTCTGTCTGAGTTTTTGGAAGCTTCGCAGCATCAACCATTCGAAGCCACAAGTCTACGGGGAAACACTTTTTAAGACAGTTGACAACTTGAGTTGGGTGCAAGGTAATAAGTTAGTAATGTAAGTGTTTAACAGACGGGGGTAACGAGACCAGAATTGGGAGAGCTTACAACAGGTATTTCTGGAGAAACAGTATTCTGAAGGTTCGATTTTTGGAGAGGGCTCGAGATTACCTTAACAAAAAAATACAAAGGGTGGGTAATAATAATGGAATACTTTATAGGGGATGATCGTCACACGGAAACATTAAGTTACCAATGCATTTTTTTCCAAAAAATGTCATACGAATAATATCCCGTTTCTAAGCCATTTTTTGCGAAATTGAACTTCAGAATCAATCGAAATTTTACTCTTATACGCTGAATTATTGCGAGGACACGAGCGAACATAAAACAGATTCCTAGTAGCATTTCCGTGACAATGGCAGCATTTTTTTTTCCAAATTTTTGGTTCAAAATTTTTGTAAATATTAAAGGAACGAAAAATTTGCAATGCTCCATTTAGATCTTGAAAAAAAGACAATTGTTTTGACAAAACTCGTCAAAAAATTGTTTAATCGAATTACAATTTTTTTTCGAAAAATTGACAAGGTATTTTCATTCGGCTATGGGCAAACTATTTTCTACAATACGCTGAAATATCACAAAATTAATCAAAACAACTGATCACCGTGAACCAGCTATATCTCATCTCAATCAGCTCATCTCAATACAAAAACTTAGTAACATATTTTTTTTAGAAATCCTAACGACTACTGAAAGGGCAGTATAAGTAAGAAAACAACCACACCAAATTCCTTTAAAATAAGTGAAAGTAGGACTAGCGCAGAATGTTCCTGCAGCGAAAGAAGCGCAGAATGTTCCGACCGACTCATCATTGCCTTAAAACTCTTGGATAACCAACATTTTTTCAATTTTTCATTTCGATGATACGGTGTTTAACTTCCTTTAAGAAATTTTTTTTACCGAAATAGCGCGTCATGAATTTTCGCCACGCAATGTTTTCAGGGGAGGGGGGAAGTCTAGTATCCGGTTGCAAAAAATCAAGGTTTATCAATTTATCTGCAGGGTCAATAAATTAATAAAATTCGACAAACAATACTCGTAAAATCATCATAGTAAAAATAAAAATGATAAAATTAATCATAATAATCATGATAGTCAGAAAAAAAACATGGTCATAAGAAAAACCAGTATCATAATCATAAAAAAGACAACATAGTTTTTTGTAAATTAAATATTGACATACTAAATAATTTCTGCTGATAAAATCAAGAGTAAAGTGTTAAATTTTGAGGCGAATATGGCATCAATTAGCTTGCCTCAAATCAAAATGGAAAAATATTGAAAATCTTGATAAATCACTATTGCATAGATAATTCGTCGCTGACTTTCAAGAACAAATTATTGATTAAGTAGTTTAGATAGACTCGTTTTTGGGACAACTGTACAGCCAAAATAGCGTAGTGGCAAGCGCGCCGGCAATAGAAACTCAAAGATCCCGGGATGGTTTCCCTCAATCAAAAAAATGTTCTCAATCAAAAAAATGTTCAAACAAAAAATTGTTCTCTCAATCAAAAAAATGTTCGTTTTCAAAATTAGTAATATTTTTGAAATAGAACAAAAAAACAACCCCCAAGCATGAATTCCCCATCAGAATTCCCAAATTCCCCGTCAGTACTATAATTTTAAAAAAATAATATAAAAATTAAAATTAGACATCATAATAATCAATCATAGTACTAAAAATTACAACACAAATTAACCAAAAATTAGTAATATTAATGATAATATTAATCATAAAAATCATAAACTCAATGATAGACGGTTGCTTTCCAAGAAGCACAATGTGGCAATCATGTAAACTTGAGAATGAGGAAAGACTCGACAAACTCTTCTATTAATTTTTTTGCTCGTTTTGTTTTCCCTTGGTACTACTAAATACAGGACCAGCCGAGGGGAAGGGGGATGTTGCTGCCGTTGTGGCTTCCTCTCCGAATTAGGCAGTGGGTTTCGTTTTTTCTTGATAATCATTTATCTCCGAAGGAGATGAGGGTTTGTTTGAGGTGGCTTCGTCTTGCCCGTAATTGTCTCGTAGGTCCCCCATGGGATATTTAGGGCATATCACATTTGTGTGACACTTGAACGTAGTTTTGACACTGGATTTCGTCTAAATGAACGTTTCACTTTGCGTTTGCTTGTTGCATGATTTCCATAGTCGGCATATGTAGTGGCCTTGTAATTATGAGAGCAGCCATTGCTTAGTGTTGTTAGCGTTGGAGGTACTAAGTATGATAATAATTAGAACTCGGTGATTAACTGTATCAAATGCGGCGGTAAGAACTAAAGCGACAAGTAGTGTTATAAGACAGGGTTTGTTTTTGTTAACGTCCTCAGTTATTTTGTGGTTTTTACAATTTAAGGCTGTAACTGTCGACCATGATTTTACGGAGCCATGCCCGTAGTTAGCCAGCTCAATGCCAGTTCAGTTCAGGTTGGAAAAGTATTTCTTCTAGTTTTGCCACGGGAGTCAGCAGTGCAATGGGTCTATGTCCTATAGTTGATTAAGAATCTTAATCGTGTTTTTGTGGTGGGATAATTCGACCGATGGTCTTCCAGTTATGTGGAATGTCTGCGTTGTTTAGTGATGTGTTAACAAAGTTGGTGATGTTTGTTATGCCAACCAGTCCAAGGTTCTGAAACGGAAGCGCTGCAATCTTATCAGGACCCAGGACTTTAAACTGTTTACTTTGCTATGTTGCTGTTATTAATTCTTCAGCCATGAAGATGGTGGCATTGAAGAGTAGTTTTCATATTTTACCAATAATATTTTTCTGTCTTTGTCAGTTTTCTCGGGATGGGGATGTATTATTCGATGAAGCTCTTGGCGTCCACTAGCATTATAGATTGATTGGCCATCATTAAAAAGGTTTGGTTTGCAAGATGTTTTTTGTGGATTTTGTCTGGAAAGCGATTTAATGGTCGACCATAACTTTTTGACTCTACCTTGGTCACACTTTTTCAGGAATATTTTTTAAATTGTTTTTTGTCGGGTTTTTTATTGTCCCCATGATTAATGACTGTGATCATAGGGTGACCTGGGTGCTCTTTTTTTAAATTGCCTTTTTCATACATTTTGTTGATGCCTCGCCTGAGAGGTTTAGGGTTATTTCAGGTATGCGCCCTTGTGAGTTATTTCGTGACGCAGCTTTTTTAATGATATCTATATCCACTTTTTATCCTTGAACATGGATTTTTTATCGCTCCCCTGTTCCAAATACAGCGCAAGTAAACGATAAACATAATCAAAACTGCCTTAAGCATCTCCATACTTAAACAGTTGAAGACTACATTGAGAAATACCCCAAAAACGTACTCAACTCAATTCTTTGTGATTTTGATGCTAGTGAAAATAGGTTCAATAGTGATGTCAGGTGCAAACTTCGTATGCTACGACCATCATACTCTCTGGAGGTCAGAGCCTAAAGAAGTTAGATCCTCTCGGAAGAGGTTAGAGCCTTAAATCTTTTATGTTTGTGGCATCTATAGTCAAGAACCTCATAACGTCAATCACATAATGAACTGTCGAACCAGAGTGACAGATCTAATTATACTCAGTCTCTGGATTGACCACCTCCATGTGGCTGAATTTCTTTAGCGCACAAAGCACAGTGGGGAGCCTCAAAAAATAATTAGCAAGCTGGAGGATGCTGACCTCATAGCAGCATAACAAGAAGTCCCATAAGGTGGCGTGACCTCACCAAGCTCTCTTTAACCTGTAATTTTCCTCCATGCCACAACCTGGTGACAACATGAAAATAGTCAGCTATGCAGTTGTTATTCCCCTTCCCCGTCTTATAACTGGGCCAAATGAGGCTGCACTACACAACCGAATCAACGCATAACCATCTACAAACATGCCAAAATAACGTCGATATCAGCGGCTATTGCTTTGAAATACCCAAAAACCCTAAAATCCATGTTTGACAAAATTCTAATTTCAAAGCGCACACATAAAACATCTGTTGCCGAGTATAATTAGGGAACCATGTGTTAAAAATACAAGCCAGCACTAAATGTGGCTGCAAAAAAGAGAACTTATCGATAACTTACAAGGCCATCAGTCGTAGTGTCATGAGCTACGCGACACCAGTATGATCACCCAGCCTCAGAGCTGCTAACTGGAATAAGCTGCAAGTGAAATATAAACTACCTGCTGAGAACTGTCAACGGTTGAGTAAGAATGACCAACACAGTCCAAATGCACAAGGAAACAGAAGTTCTCCGGGTGCGTGAGCACAGTGAAATGCTCTCAAAACAGTTCCTACTTGAAATGCTCTCAAAACAGTTCCTACTTGGCAGCTATCTCAGTCGAGTGGATCATGAAACTTTAGCAAGTTGCAATACGAGAACGCTCAAGCCAACACTACAAACATTGATCCATCGGTGGGGGGATGTCATGCATTTCACCGTAACCGGTCTCACCTTGAGGAGACGGATGACACTTAGACCCTCCAACCGTGACCGAAAGTGGATTCGAAGACATCCTCATGTTGCGGGGATCCTGTTGTTGCGAGACTTGTGCCAATCCCACTTGGCCACGGCCGCTCTTGTATTTTTTTAAAAGTTAGTTAGGTAAGACTAAATTGAGAACAAGTAAAAGAGTAGCTAACAAAACGCCAGAAGAATTATAGGGGAAAATCAATCTAAAATTTTCAGCCTGAACTCATTAGTCTGAAAACGAAAAACATTTTGATACGGAAAAAAAATTCGGAACCTGAATCACGACTAATCAGGCTTTTTTATGATATCACTCTTGGCACTCTACAAGCTTTTTTTGAGGTAGTAAAAATCGGTAAGAAAAAAACACTAAGTCATTGTGTCCTTCCCACTCTATGCCAGAGTTCCTTCATTATAATGAATTGTTCCCACCAAAGCTAATATAATTATTTACATTATTATTGATCATTAATATTAGTACGCGTTTTTAAAAAGTAGATCGTTTTAATACAGCGCCTAAATTTGAAGCTGTTCTCTAGTTACATTCAGGCTAGGCGACCTTTCCAAACACAGTAACTTTTTGTCAACTAAAAGCTACCTGGTGCTGTTGGTCATTAAACGGCAACTAACTTTTCGGTAACACTAAATAGCAACATTAGCCATCAAAATGTGGCACAAAAAACACTCGAACGAAAGTGCGAGTATTTAAAAAGTATAATTGAGAAACTGCGAAAGGAGTTATCTCCCCTTTGATGAGTTTCCCTCTAGTAATTCGTTTCTGTCTGCGCAATTTCGATCAATACAAAACCCATTAGTACATGACATTTTAATTTGTACTTTTCTCCTTTGAACATACACAACAGTGCTTTTGACTCTGAACCTGAAAATTAATGCTCGCCGAAAAGCACGTATCAATTATTTGCCTTCCAGTTACTTCTGATTATAAGGAAAATCAGGCAAAATTGCCGTGTACGAAAGGTAAGTCAGGAAAAAGTTAATAATATACAGAAATAAAAGCATTAGCTTGCTCAAAAAAATCTTTACTGGGTCGCAAACTACTCCATCCAATATCTTAAAATTGTTATTCATTAATATAAGCAAAAAAAATCTTTTGAAAAATGATTTGGGAAAATCAATTAACTTGTGGGGGTGGGGTTAGCCTTTGGTCCAAGCCATTACAGGTCGGGATGGCGCTGGTCACTATTTCTGTGCAAGGAATTGCATTGCATTTTCCTTTGCTTCAAATTAAATGTAGTCTTAATTTTTCATTTTTTGACTTCTGGACGCAATTACCTGAATACTCAATTTCAAGATTCCCCATGATTGTATAGGCGCCCAACTTTTGATACCTAAAATTATGTATTTTTTGTGGCCGTCAGTTAATTGATTGAAGCCTTGGTTCTGTAATTCTTTAAGTAACTTTGTCACTGGTACTTCGGTGTTTTTTAAATGCAAAACATAGCTTTTCATCAACTGAGAGAAGATAAATAAGAGATAAAGATCATTATTTGTCACATTTTTCTATTTTTAAGTGAGTTATGATGAATGGTCGCCTGATTCCACTTCATGGCACAAATCAGGCAGCTAAGTCGAATTTTTGCCTCGCAAGCCCAATAAAGACGCGATAATATTCAACAACGCAGTTCCACAAAAAATAAGTTTTTTCTGTTTATCACTGCCTATACCAAATTTTACAAATTGAAGCATACTTCAAATTTCCTGGTCTTCACGTAAGTTTTTGCTAAGCTAACAATTTTTCGTACATTTTTTTCAACAAAAATTCTACCCAAAAATCTTGTTCTTACATTGCAACTGTACGGTTAAAATTTCGCTGTGATGCTAAAGTGTAGTTCAGCTTTCAAAACTATTTGAGTCATTCTTTGCTAGCTCGCACAGAGAAGTGCGATAATTTCTTGATCATCGAACTATTTTTTTTCATCTTGAGCTTAACAAAATGATAGGTCAACTACCCATGTCACTGAACCACAAAAGAACAAATCAATTGAAAAATAAGATGCAAATTATAAGGGGATAAGGGGTGTTGAAAAACTAAACTTACTTTATTATTCAAACAAGCGTCTTTTTTAATTCTGAAAGAAAAGTAAATTTAAAAAAACAAAGAGACATCTGATTAAATCCGAGAACAGCAATCATTGAATTTAGCGCAGAAGGGCCCTCTAAGTTCCCATGTATAACAATGAGGCTGTTAATGAACCATTTATGTTTTCAGATACCATGCAGTCGCTTCTAGTAAGAATTGCGGTGTTCTTTACGTTCAACTATCTGAATACAATCAATATCTACGGCGCACCCTTGCATTACAACTTTGGGGGAAGTCAGTACTACCGAGCTGACCCACTATTACCATTTCCAAGCACCTACGGATACGCACAACTAGCACTTCGCAACACTGGATTTGCTGCTGCAGTTCCATACCAGTACATCATAGACTACCCTTCCAGCTTTTCTAGTTACTCTGAATTATCGCCATTTTCGGATAAACTTTTTGCAGATAGCTTTGACAGAAACGAATCGCGAAACAAGCGAATGCTACGCTTCATTTCTCCTGACGAGTTCAATGGGCTTCGGGTAAAACAATTTCATTAACTTTTTTAAACTAACTGGTAACAGCATGCCGAAAAAACTATTATATCACAAGAAGTATTTTGGCATTAATATGACACAGATAAGTACATAAGTCGTTTATTAAAAACTCCTCTCGTCTATATAGAAGCTACACAACCAAATCGGAGTGGTTTTTCGGTCCTTATAACATTTTTTACCGTTATAAAAGAAAAAAAAAACAGAAAAAATGTTGTTCATTTACTTTCGAAGTTAATTTATGGACCCGCAGCTTAGAATGCACCTCTAAAACGGGCAATTTAACCATAAAAAAGCAGTGAAAAATGTCCCTTCTGAGTTTCTACAACCTTAAGAGTCAACCTATTGTTGCTTTTCGGGATTTCCTATCATTAGCTAAAATATAACAACAAGTCAGTAGCGGAAATAGGGGAGGGGAGGGAGTGACACCCTCACTTTTGAGGGATTTAACTCCCTGCCAACGCATGGGGTCCCCCTTTGTACTTTCTGGAGATATGTTTTGAAAAAACCGCTTTTCCCTCGAGAAAATCCTAGATCCACCCCTGTAACAGATTCTATGAAAAAACGTTGTTCAGCCTTGCCAGAAGTATAAAATCGTGTGTTGCAACTTTTTGCTACTTTCCTTATCTATACCAAAATAATCTTTGACACAATCGAACTATAGAATTAAGAAGCTCTAGACCTTAAGTTGGCTAGCTTTGCTTCAAATACAATGGCTTGCAGCACAATTTAGAGATCAAATTTCAATAATGAATTATTAGATTTTTATACTCAGAAATACAATTGAAGAATTTGTTTAAAGCGTCGCCTTTAAGTCCCATCAAAAGCTGTTGTTATCTTAAAGCCGTCGATCCTCTTTTATGCGAATAAACAATTCTTCATGTTTTTACTGATGAAAAATCTGATCCAAAAAATGGATCTAGGGCAAACATCCGATATGTCTAGCATCCACTATTTCAAACATCCGAAAATATTTAACCTTTACGTCACAATGACTTAAGAATTTCAAATACAAGACATAGTTAGAAAAATTGATGAAAAAATCAACCTTTTTTTTCAACCTAACTTTTTTCAACCAACCCCTTAAATTCCCGTATGTTTTTTCAAGTGAGAAAGTAACGTAACGATAAGACTAATTAGTTCGTGTTTCAAATTGAAACTAAATTTGAGCCTGATTCAATCGTCGCCTACTCATTGAATGCAATGAATCGCACGATAATTATCCAAAAATGGCTAGACACGCAACTTTAAATCCCTATAAAAGTTCAAAAAGGACTTCAAGAGAATTTTGATTTCAGGGCATCAATAACTTCCAAGCTGTATGAAAGATTTCGTCAAACAATACTAATTAAAAAGTCTATTTTGTCAACAGAAAAAAAAATCACCCCGAGCACAAATATTCCGTCACTTAAAGATAAACTCATTATGAAGCATTAAGTTGTACACGTTATTCGAAAAACGGCAATAAGATAAAACATTACACGAGAAACAACACTGCTCGTGTTACACGGTAAAGCCCTGAACGTTTAATCTACTCTTAATCACTATCGAATAGTAGTTTTGGTAAAATATTAAAAAACCATGATCTACGGACAAAATCAAACATCAATAGCAAAAACTTGAATAGCATACGATATTAACACGAATGATCAGATTACCTCAATTCAATTTGAAACGATTTTGCGGCACAAAACAATTTGCCCTGCATGATCAAATCGTTTTACGCTTTCAGCATCACAAACAAAATATTCACAGCGCGCATAAAAAAGCCCAGAGCATAGCCAAAATACAAAACACCCAGAAAATACAAATATCAAAAGTAAAGACCTTTTTACATATGAACTCAATTAATGGGTTTCGATGCCTTCAATAGTGTATAAACATTTTTTGGTTAAAACTGTAATTTCGATTGCCGAAAGTGAATAAAAAACCATCCCAAGCAAACATATTCCGCATTTCTCCGAAAGTCGAAACACTTAAACGAGATTACGATGATTTTTATCGAATACTGCAGGAATTGATTGACACAGAGGCGAAGCGGAGCTTCGCACCATTTGCGATACAACACAAACATAAAAAACATAAGTGGAAAAAAATCAAATGTTGGAAAAAACCAGGTGAACCAAAATTTGGATGTCTAGATAAAAAACAAGGGACCCCAGCTAAAACTGGAGGTACGTGATTGATATTGAATAAATTTGTTATACTGATGTGGCACAAAAAGTGTGATTTCAAAAACTGAACTCCGCCAAAACCCTAGTTGTTCTACTAAAATAAGTGAGAAGAGTAAAAAAAAATTAAGACAATCAATTTTCCCGAGTAGATAACATTTCTTTGACAAAAAAATACAGAGTCGCCAATCCTGCAGGAACAGTTCTTGCAGTCGGTTTTTCCAATGAATCTTTTCATCTCAGATTTGATTGAGTAAATTTTAGAAAAAAAATCAAAATGTTTCTAAATAACAGTCGAAAGAATTTCCCAAAATCATTATTTTTTTCTGCAAACAGCTGGTTATGGCCGATTAAGCTGAGATGATTCCTAAAACCACATTTGGCACGGTAGTTTTTGCGTAAAGTCAAAAAGTTTCCAAAAACTGTCTAAGTTTCAAAACTTTGACATGTTTGAAGGCCGAGACTTTTTTCTTAAGCAAAATTGGCATAGCAAAGTTTAAAGGTTTTCAACAACCTGTTGTTTCAACTAAACCACCAATGATATCGAATTTGGCAGGATATTGAGCGAAAAAGGTCCAAAAAACGGTTATGCAGAAAAGATTCACGTAACCCGTAAATTCGATTGAAACCAAAATCTCAGATTTTGGAGGGTGGTTCTCGAGAAAAGACAAAAACTTTCAAAATACGGTCAAAATCAAAACTTTAATTTTTCTGAGGGCCACAGTTATTGGGCTTAGTCGCATAAGCAAATGAGCTTCACGCAACCCGATCTTTGAATTGAACCCAAAAAAATCCGATATGGCAGGATTGTTTTCGAGAATATTTAAAAAAAATTGAAAAAAAAAAGGTAAAAAAAAAAGACTTTTCTGAGGACGATAACTGTTTTTGTAAAAAAAAAATTTGTGAGTGGCCGCTAGTGCAGAGGGGCTTCTCTTTACCCCTTATCAGCATTGAACTCACAAAATTAGAATTGAGAGATAAGTGTTCGCTGAATACCCATTTTTTGAAAATGAGTAAAGTTTCTGTGAAAAACTAAAATTTTTGCAAAAACAAAGAAAAAATTTTCCAAAACAAAAAAAAAGAAATTTCAACAGATCGAGTGGTAAACATAAACCGAGTGGTAAACATAAACCGAGTGAAAAGTGCGGGGGGATTGTTAAGATTGTGTTTCCTTTGAAACGACTCAAAATTAGGTCATTAGGCCAATAAAAAATAGGCCGAAACAATTTGGGACAAAGCGCGCATAAAAGAAACGATTCAAAGCCGACAACAGATAAGCAGACAAATATTTGGCCGACAATTTTATTTGAAACAGAATGTTTTCCGATAGAAAAAAACAGTTCCTGGTCAGATTCGAGCCCCAGACTTTTGCCGTCCCACGCACGTTCGTTACCTCCAGGCTAAATTGGCCGGGAACGCTAAGAAAACTGAATACATTATGAACCAAGGTACCACTAGACATGAGTCCAGAAGTCCGATGGGTCCTGTGATCAATGTTATTTACGGGAAAAAAAGAGTAGTACCAGATTGCAATTACCTTGTTCATTGCAAGGGTTAAAAATCATGAGGAGGTTTTATCGGAGAAAATAGAGATATAAGCCAAAAATATATAAATAATAGCGAAAAAACCTGCAAAGCCTTGACCGATTGCTGTAATTGAGTTAAGATTTGATCTCAAAATATAGGATTATAGGTTTTTTTTACTGAAGCCAGAAAATTTAAATAGCTTCTTGAAAAGCCTTAATCAACTGCTATAATTGAATGAACTATTGTAGGTTTTAGAGGAAAGCCAGAAACTGATTATACGTTATGCAGTAGTCGGATTATAACGGTAATTTTCAGGGTTATACGGTAGTTTAAAGGGTTATACGGTAGTTTTAACGGTTATAAGGCAGTTTTACGGTTAAACGGTAGTTTTAAGAGTAATACGGTAGTTTTAGGGGTTATACGGTTATAAGATTCATGCATCATACGTATATACATTGACTTCAATTTAACTAATATGGTAAACAGCACACTTCCCTTAACTCAATTCACCAAAGAGTTTGATATGATTGAAATTTTTCAGGACAAGCAAGTGGGGATGAAGACAGAAAGGAGAGGAAAAACGATGCCGTCATATCGTGCGTTCAAGCAGAGAAACTTGCGAAAAGTGTGAACAAAAGAACGAAGCTAATCAGAAGTTGGTTTACAATTCTCAGACTACCTACACAAATCATTCATAAGACCACAAAAAAGAACATCGCTCGTGCGCCGAGATGACTACAAGGAACACCATCAAGTGAAAATTATAGAAGCAACAAAATAATCTAAATAGCTTCCTAAAAAATTTGATCAGTCTTTATTCTCATTTTTAATGCGACATGCTTAAGGAATTTAAAATCTCTGTTCTCTGAATTCTACTAACATTGCCAGGCTATAAATTTTACGGAATCCCCAAAATCACTAGCAGAAGAGTCTCCAGGTTTTTTTTAAAAACGTTTTCTCTAAAAGATGCTCCAGAGAAAAAATACATTACAGACTTAATGTTGAAAAGGTTGAGAAATTGAATATTTGGTTTCCTTCTATGATAGGGAGCATAAAACGCATATATTCAGAGGCCAACTCAAACCTTGATTACTCTTGATGTTAGGGTTTTTTGTTTAGGCTTGCTCAAATACCGATTTTTAGTTGAGCTCTTGTAAGATGTAAAGGTTGCTCAATCATTGGTAGTGGAAGATATCTCAGATGATTTCTTAAAAATGCACTATCAAACAAACTATTGAAAATTTTTGAAGAACTGAGAGAGCAGTCGACATAAAGGATGCGGAGCGCATTACTAGCTACGCAAAACTAGACATGGCAAAAAGGAAGCAATCAGCCATCGACGAAAAACCTGGAGCAGCCAGTTGCTGTGTAAATAGCACAGAAATTTGTCGTAATGAAAGTCAAAATTTAGTGCTATTTGAACAGCAACCGGTTGTTCTAGTTTTGTCTTTAACGAACTTTGAGTAGTCAAATTGGGAAGAATACAAAAAACAGCCCGTGCCATAAGTCCTTCCCACCCTAGGGGGCGGTGAAAATAAACTGTCTAATTCTTGGACGAGGGGATGGAAATCGGTTCTCAGACAACTGATGTCAGCCAAATTAAACACAAAGAAGATGCATTTCACCCTAAACTTAATATACAAGTGACCTAATTAAACTCTTAAATATGATTTATAAAACATGTTTGATTTTACAGTACTCAATTAGTCAATCTTTTGATAAAACTAACCCAATGCGAGAAAACTAGATCAAAAGGTAAATTTTTCATTTCGCTGGGAAATCTAAAAAAACGAATTCCCATTTCAAAACACAGAGGCGAAGCGGAGCTTGGCATCACTTTAAATACATCAAACAAATAGAACGGCAGCTAGCCGAAAAAATAGGACAAAAGCCATTGATTCGACTTCAAAAAAAATTTCAAGAAATACGAAAAAAGCTCAAGTTTTTTTCATTTGCCGCAAAGTAGCTGATTTTATAAAAGATACTGGAAACACGATTGCCAATAAGAAATAAGTATTGCAAAATAAAAAAATAAAAATTATATATAATGTCGAAAAAAAAATAAATCTTCCAACACTTTCATATTTTTGCACCAATATGTCTGAACTAAAAATCATTTTTAACAAACAAAAAGCAAATGAACGTTAAATATAAGTAGCGGTAACAACCCGACAATGCTAATTGCAAAAATAATAATCGCATGTGCAATAACTCCGTGGTAATTAATCGACAAAAGAAAAAGCAACAATAATTGCGCAAAAAAACATCAATTACTTCCACTAAAGGCATTCAGAAAATTCAAAGAATGCAGAAATTTCAAAAAGTGTTCGTCCAACGGGATGTAAGCCAAAAAAATCAAAGAGACAGACAATTATCCAGAAAAGCAGTAAACTTCTTAGTTTAAAAAAATGGTTCCGACGTATAGCGTCTCAAGCATATGATGCGATGGATAATTGATTGAACTTAAATTTATCACACAGAAACTTCGCATCACTTGCACCACAAAAACGAATGATTTTGATCAAAATGAAATGAAAATAAAAAACCTTGAAAAAACGTTTTCGTAATAAAAATCGCAAAAAAACTCAAATCAGGAACAAGAAAAAATGCTTCATAAAAACTTTACAAGAAGCTTTCGGGAGTCTAGAAAAAAGTCGAACTTTGAAAAAGCACTTTCTGCAGGAACTAAGCCGGCAAAAATAAGCAGACAAAAATCCTTATTAACAGAAAACTTTCAGTTGGCAAAAACAAGTCCCGACTGGAATCAAACTCCAAGGCTTTGTCGTGGATGCTACAGCAACTTAAAGGTAAGCTTGAGACAGACGCCATACGTGCTGAAACGAGTGAACAGCGTTTTTAACGGGGAAAACGTTGCACTTGACTGCAATAAACTTGAACAGACAAACGAAAGTCCGACCATTCAATTTTTAACTACAAAAACTTCCTTTCATGCACACTGAAAAAAAAACAAGTTCCGACTGGGACTCGAATACCAAACCTTAGAGTGCAAAGGCAACCAAGTTACCTCACGACAGAATGGGAACAAACCTGAACCTTGTGAGGATTTAATAACAAAGTAAGTAAGAAATATAAGTAAGATTTGTGCGAAAGGTCATTAACGAGGAGAAATTCTAGTTCCCTATTACAAAAAAAACATGCTCTCGCAAGTGTAAGAACCATTTTGTGGAAATCGAACTCTTAAAAACCAGTTTCTAAATGCTCATAAAAGGCTCAAGTGTACACTTGTCATTGCGCGCCATTTTATTACTGTTCAAGTAGCACAGATTTTACGACGGTAGCCGGACAGTTTTTTCTACTCCAAAAACCCTAAGCCATTTTATCCAATACTACTTATCCTATATACCAACTTACCCAATGTCAATTTTACCTCGTGCCAAATCACCCAGTTGTTTAGGACATGTATGGAACAGTTATTTAATTTGAGTTCTGCCAAGTAGACTCATAACTTGGCTCGGTTAATAATCCGAACACTTCGTGTACTCGATTGAAAATTTTGGTCAAAACAGTAGCATTAATACAGTTAGCAGGTTTTAATCTCCAATATCAGTAACTAAAAATTGGTTTTCTTTAAAAGATATAATTTTTGAGGTTCCGGCATGCAAGAAGGCTGAACTTTTGGAAAATGATGGGGTAAATATCACATAAATTTTCCTTTTCTATCACCCCTTCCCCCAGTAACGCCTTGGCCTGGTACCGGAGGGCTTATTTTTATCCTTTTGTTTAACCAATCAACCTTAGCTTTGGTTTTACTTTTGGCTACGCTGTGATTTGATCTTTAGAACATTCTACATTAAAGCACAAGCAATATGCAAAAATCTACAACGACTTGAATATTCTCGACTTCTGCCTGTTTAGGAACTAGCCGCAACGCAACATGATGAGCAAAATGTAAATATCCGCAACGCAACATGTATCAGATTCAATACATGCTTCGTTCATGCTTTGAACTTGTGATATGCGTTGCGATATCAAATTGAAAACAAGTTGGAATTCAATACTGTATTCTGAAGATTGAATTTAGATTTTCTCTTTTCTTTGTTTTCTTATGTACTGAGAGATAGATCATTGTTAAGTACTCTGATCTCTCACTTAGTCTCAGTGTCATCACTTATGTATGACCTTGAGCGTACCATAAAATAATGATTTAACACCAGAGGTTGGCTGTACATACGTATAATAAATACTGCTACTGCAGTAGCGGTATGACACACTCCCCTCGGTGAAAGAAATAAATTATACAACATCAGTAGGATAATTTATTTAAAAGAGTTCAATTTACTCAGTTCGGAAGAAAGTCTTTTAGATGGATTATGTAAATTTCAGTTTTCCTCCAGCTCAATTTCCCAACTCGGGTTCCAATCTACTCCTTCATCTAAAGTAGCATATCCGAATTTTCGCATAAATAAATGTCTTTCGAGTCGTCGCACTTTTGACTCCAAAGGTCTGTCGTCCCGATCTTTGAAATCTCTCAGTTGGTTTCTGTATTCTTTAAGTGCCTCCTTTAAAAGACCTCTTCCTGTAAGATTTTCGGATATTTCTTTGATTGAATGTTTTATCGGATCTCCGAATCGTTTGGGTTCTTTGTTCTTTGTTTGTCTAGAACTTCGTCGAACACCTGACTCTTCCGCACTTGATTCGTCCGAGAATCCTTGTGGTGGTTCGAAGTTTGTATCCAATTCTGAGCCTTTTTGAGGATTTTCTCTAAGTTCATCCGCAACTCGCTGCACCCCTCTTTTTAACAGTTGGTCCGCGTACTTCTCCCAGTCAGACGGTGCCAAATTTCTATTGTGAAACGTCTCCACTATATCTTCCAAAGGGGTGTGCGCGTCAATGCCCTTCAGTTTCGGACGCTGTTTGGTTTTCGGCGTAGAGCTCGACTGGATTTTGGTATCTGCTGTGACCGAATCCGGCTTAGATATTGCTTGCTCTTGTTCCGAGTTGACTGCAGTCGCAGTTTGGTTTGCGTTGGTCCCCTGTTGTTGCTTGCTTCGGCTTTTCTTCTCTTTTCCGCTCTTTTCCGGCTTGTTCGTGTTTGTTTCCTCTGCTGATTTTGGTCCCGCCAGGTTTGGTTTTGCTCTTTTTATTGCAAGATTCAGTCCTCCCCCGGCTTCTGTGTCCTTAGAAGTGACTATTGTTTGGCTCTTCTGAAAGCGCTCTGTTGGGTTCATTTCATTTGCAATTTCCATTTCTCCTTGGAGTTCATCCTCCGATTCCAGCTCCTCTAGTAGTTCTGGAGAACTGACTCACTTGAACTTTTTTGTAGGTTCCGACGATGGACTTTTACTTGTGCTTCTCTGTTTTTCTTGTGTAAGTACGGTTTTTGATTGAGCTATGTCCGATTTTCTATAGATCGAACCGGCCGATGTCTTAATTGTTGATTCCGTTTCTGAAGCTATTTTCCCCTTTAGTGGTCTGGTTAGGGCTTGTCCGCTTTTCCTTAGAGGGTCCTTTCTAAGTATTGTCTTGGGTGGTGACTTGCATTGGTTTTCTACTTTATCTTCCACAAATCCTTTTTCCCAAGAGTAAATCATTTCTTTTCGAAGATCGGGATTGAGTTGACCTGTCTCGTCCACTAATTTCCTGATGTCATTTTTAGCTGCATCCCTTCTTTCGTAGTTCCATCGGGCGTTTGCCTCCAACAATTCCTTTAGGGCTTTGGCTCTTTCTTTGTCTCTGTCCGATGTTATCTGCTGCTTGTGCAGTGGGCTTGTATCCCTGCTCAGTTGTCCCTTGCGCACTATCTTGAGATTCTCTCTCGACTGATCAATCCTCCGTTTCATTTGAGACGCAGTCAGTGCTGAGCGTTCCAAGTGTTGTTTGTCTAAAGAATC